CTGCCCCCTACTCTTTTTGAAGTATGTGATCCAGAACTGTGCAGCATGACTCCAGACATATTTAATGTAGCTGTAGTGAAACCTCTTCCCCATTATTTTCAAGCCTTCTGGGTATGAAGGCTAATCTTCCATTCACCACTGCAATTCATTTTTGTACTTGACAGCTACATCTGAGTGAAATGTGCAAATGTACTTTATCAATACTTTACAACACCTCCCTATTCTTAGCTTGTCACCATCCTTTCTTTTCCTACAACTTGTTTTTAGACAGCCCCTATGGTGAAATCTATCTGCCACAGTTGTGTGATCTCAAAAATATCTCTATCATTGATGCTTCCAGTCATATCCCTTACCTCACCAATCATTATGCAATGGACGATGTTGGGTCTATGGATCTCTATTGTGTTATTTCTTTCATTAATAAACATGATCAATAATTATGTATCTGCGTCCCAGCACAGACCCTTGTGAGACTCATAGAATCATAAAGTCATATAGCACGGAAACAGACTCTTTAGTCCAACCCATCCATACCGAACACAATCCCCAACTAAACTAGCCCCACCTGCCTGCTCCTGGCCCATATCCCTCCAAACCTTTCCAATTCATGTCCTTATCCAAATGGCTTTTAAATGTTGTAACTGTACCCTCATCCTCAGGAAGTTCACGCCACGCACGGACCACACTCTGTATAAAAAAAAACCCTCGTGTCTTTTTTAAAATCTCTCTCCTCTCACCTTAAAAATGTGCCCCCTGTTTCTGAAATTCCCCATCCCCCTCTAGTCAGCTGTTTCTAAGTCAAATACTCACTCATTAGTAATCTCCTAACCAAGTCAATCAGTAGTTCTCCCCCTTCCAACTCTATTTTATTTTAGCCCTTTCCCCCTCTCCCTCACCTTCGATGGTCTCATTACTCTTAATGGGCTGTGCACACAAATTATTCAATTGGAAAACTCAGCTGATTTACTGGTGTTAGTTAATAGATGTAAAAGAAAACATGGATGATTTGTTGATGGGAAAAAAAAAGTTGTGTGTAAGAGCACTTCTGAATATAGAGAAAACTGTAGAAAATAAAGATGATAATTTGCCTTCAATTCCAAAGGCTTTAAATTTAGTGAGTGATCCCTAATATGGAATGTTACTGGGGGTGAACACCATCAGCTACAAATTCCCCTCAAAATGATATATTCTCCTGATTGGAAATACATCGCTGTTCCTGCATCGGTGCTGGGTCACAATTCTAGCACTCCCTCCCACACTACACTGTGGGAATACTTTTTCTATTTATTCATTGGGTGTCGGTAGCTAGGCCACCATTTATTGCCCCATTCCTAATTGCCAGAGGGCAGTTAAAAGTCAACCTCATAGCTGTAGGTCTAGAGTCACATGTGGCCCAGACCAGTTCAGGATGATAGTTTCCTTCACTAAAGGAATTTTGTGAGCCAGATGGGTTTTCCAGCAATTGACAATGGATTCATGGTCATCATTAGACTCTTAATTCCAGATTTTTTATAAAGTTGAATTCAAATTTCACCATCTGCCATGGCAGGATTTGAATCCAAGTCCCTAGAACATTACGTGGGTATCTAGATTAACAGTATAGCAATAATACCACTAGCCTATCACCTCTTCCTTGATGACCAGGAAGTCCTTTCCAGAGGGGATTAACACCACCATCCAGGGATGGGCAATAAATGTTACTTTGTCTTTGTATCTCAAGCATCATTTGTTTTTGAAATGGCCCATTGATAATGCAGACAGTGTGAATTGCTGACTCCTGGAGCTGAGGGATTCAGATGGGAGATGGCAAGTGGAAAATTACAGGTCTTCCTAATGTTTGCAGCAAAATACACAGTTTAAAAAAATCAGCTTTGTAGGTGCTCATAAATCATCTATTGCTTTTCCCAGCCCCTGCACTATGAGAAGCAGATGTAGATTAATGTAAGACTTTGAGGCCTGTTGTTTATTAACACATTCTTCCTCGCTCCTTGTCTTTTCTAGACAATGCATTCTGTTTGTTAAGCTGAAAAAACCTAGTTAAAATTTATACGTGATATTTAGTGTCGTTCAGGGGTCTAGGGGATGTAGATGTATTTTAAGACAAGGCTTTTGAATTTCATAAGCAAAACAAGTGTCAAGGAGATTGATGTTGCATTCGCTGATTCATAAATTAGGTGCCAAACCAAGCAAAACGTTTCAATTTAGCTATGGATAAACTGTCGGATTAAATTACTGGACACAAATTACATCTACTTTCTTTAAAGATGCATAGGCAGGTATAATGATATCCTGTTCCTGCATGGCTGTTTGCATTGTTACCGAGGAGAGGGAGAGTTTTAGTTGAATTTCTTGCACTACCTATCTCCGCACAGCACTGTCTGAGACAGGCAATTGACAAGACAGGATTTCGGGACTCTTGAGTTCATTCATTGATGGGATGGGGGCACAATCAGCATTTGTTGCCCATCCCGAATTGCCCTTAAATTAATTAGCTTGTTCAGCCATCTCTTGAGGGCAACTAAGAATCAACCACATCATTGTGGGCCTGAATCGGGGGAGGTGATGGCCTGGTGGTAATGTTGCTGGGCTGTTAATCTAGAGACTCAGATAGTGTTCTGGGGACAAAGGTTTAAATCCTGCTTTGGCAGAAAGTAGAATTTGAATTCAACAAAAATCTGGAATTAGGGGTCTAATGGCAATCACAAATCCATTGCCGATTGTCAAGAGAGGAAACCCATCTGGTTCACTAATGTCCTTTAGGGAAGGAAACTGCTGTCCTTGCCTGGTCTGGGTTACATGTGACTCCAGACCTACAGCAATATGGTTGACACTTAACTGCTCTCTGGGCAATAAATGCTGGCTCAGCCAGCAAGGCCCTCAACTAATGAATTAAAAAGGTAACGACAGCAGAGTCCCCTTGATAAGCAGGTAACACCATTATTGATGTCAAGTTTTGAATTCAGGATTTATTAATTAAATTTAAATTCCACAAATTGCCAGGGCTGGATTTGAACCCGTAAGCTCCAACAATTAGCCTGGGCTAATTACCAGTGTCCCACCATCTCTGTGCTGGTCTGTTTACAAGATCAGTTTGCTTATGCAGTCATTGCGGGGGGAAGAGTCTGGGCATCAATTTTCCTCAAGGCACCAAAGGTTATAGGTCTAAGAGGCCTCACTGAATTCCCTACATTATGCCCATCACCAACAACTTATAGTGCACCTACTGCATATTAACATGACATGAAGATCAAGGTCTAGAACAATTAGCAAAATGAAACTTATGCCTGGGCCACTTAAGGAGATATACATTCAGTCGACCAAAGGCTTGGCCAATACAGCAGGTCTTAAGTATTTGAAAGGAAGAAGGAATGGGCTAGGGGTGGAGGGATGGAAGTCCAGAGCTTGGCGTTTTGGCACCTGAGGTACGGCCAAAAATGATGGAGCAATTGTGACTGGGGACACAGAGGTTGGGAGGTATCTTGGAGGACTGTGGTACTGGAGGGGTTTTCAGAGATAAGGATCAACACCTCACTGGTCCCTGGGTCTTGTACCCAGACTGCCGTACTGCCTACGAGGTTAGCACTCAATGTTATCTGAGCTCCTCTGCTCAAGAGTAGTTCTATGCAGCTTCCCCTAAGCTATGTGTCTTTCAACCTCTCAAACCAATTCTGCCATTCAGTAACAGCATGGGTAATCAATATCATCATCCTTTTGGTTCTGTGAAACGTCAATACCTTAATTAAAAGGAAGTACTGACCCCTCAGCAACGCGCTCCAGCTCATCACCCTGTTCCCCTCACTGTCTATAGCTCCACAAGGGCAAAGGAACAGGAAGGCAAGTGGAAGGGAGCAAGATGGCAAATGAAGCAATGAGGGGACAGTGAGGGGGGAAATAGTGAAATGAGGCAGCGAGGAGGGCAGTGTGTGAAAGAAGGCAGCGAGGGAGGAAGTGAGGAGAGAACAGTGACAGAAACGAGGCAGCGAGGGGGGACAGTGAGTGAAATGAGGCAATGAAGGAGGTGAGGATAGTGAGTGACTTCCTTTTACAGTGTGGTGATGTGAGATAGTGGTTTAAGCTCCACATGAGTTTCCACACACCTTCATCATGTCACCCAATCACCGTAACTTTCCATTCCTTTCTCCATCAGGCATTTATCCAGCTTCTTCTCAGATACACCTATGTTATCTCCCTAACAGGACTAGACAGAGTAAACACAGGAAGGATGTTCCTGATGACTGGAGAGTCCCAAACTAGGGAGTCACAGTCTAAGGATAAAGGATAGGCCATTTAGGACTGAGATGAGGAGAAATGTCTTCACCCAGTGAGCTGGGAACCTGTGGAATTCTCTGCCACAGAAAGCGGTTGAGACCAAAACATTGAATATTTTCAAGAAGGAGAGAGATGTAGTTCCTGGGGCTAAAGGGATCAAAGGGTATAAGGAGAAAGAGGGAACAGGGGACTGAGTTGGATAATCAGGAATGATCATATTGAATGGTGGAGCTGGCTCAAAAGGGCTGAATTATTTTTCAATCATTCCCAGGGTGGCTGACTAGGCCAGCATTTATTGCCCATCCCGAATTGGCCAGAGGGCAGTTGAGAGCAATCATATTGCTGAGGGTCTGGAGTCATGTGTAGGCCAGACCAGGTAAGGCTTGCAACAGTCTCCTTCCCTAATGGGCATTAGCTGCTTACGGTCTATTCCTGTTCTTATTTTCTATGTTTCTATTTAACTAGCACTGGTTATCCAGTACAATATCCTGTTAACTTTGTGGGGTGTCTGGTTACCTCATCTGGTAATGCTTTAGCAATCTGCTTTAACCTGGTCATGGCCTCAATGTTAATTGATATCCGGACCTCAGTGTTTCTAGATGAAACTGATTTGAGCGATACAAACGATTGAAGTAACAGAGTGAAAGGAAAGGGTGAGCTATTACTCTGATGGATTAGAGTATTTATTGTGAACAGAAACTGATTCAGCAAACTGTCTTGGCATTTGACAGGAACTAAAGGAGAAGATGAATGAATTGTTGCCACTGATACCAGTCCTCGATCAATACAAATCGGATGCCAGATTGATTCTAAAGTTAAAGGAAGAAGTTCGGAACCTCTCGGTGGTCCTGCTGGGAATCCAGGAAGAAATGGGTGCCTATGACTATGAGGAACTACAGCACCGAGTCATGCTTCTTGAGCAGAGACTCCATGCCTGTATGCAGAAACTGGGTAAAGGCTTCTTTGTATCAACACTCACCTCCCTCACTTTCTAGGACTCTTTTGTTATTGCATGGTTTGGATTGCTTCAGTGGCAAGTTAACACTGGCACAAGGTTCCAGTGCTTGCTGTCTGGCCAGCAGGAGGTTAGCACTGGTTTATTTCATGTCCCTGCCCACATTTAGAGTAATCAGTCATCTGGATAACTGTGTACCCCAGCTCCTTCCACTCCCCTCACCATCATTTCCCCCTTCCCTTACACCATTCCCCCTTCCCTTACACTATTCCACCCTCCCCTTCCCATTACTCTCCCATCTCCTTACACCATTCACTCCTCATCTACACAGCCCCCTCCAGCACTCCTCCCCTTACACCATTCCTTCACTACCATCCCTCCTGTCAGGTTGGATGTAAAATGCATTGCCCATCCTCTTTTTGACTTCACTAATGGCCAACATTTACCCTAAGCCAGTTTAATTTGAAAGGCCTTGCCTGCTTTCGGCCTGTTCTCTACCTCACTCTGTGAGGTTCTCTTGGACCTTCCCAAAAAGAACTGAACATTTGAATGACTGGTGACCTGATCTAGGGCAAGGTAAATTTATCCATTATGTTATCCTGCAGGCTGTGGGAAGCTAACGGGGATCAGCAACCCATTCACTGTCCGGGCTTCGGGCTCCCGCTTTGGGGCATGGATGACCGACACTCTGGCGTCGAGCACAGAGAATCGGGTAGGTGGACCGGACCAGATCGAACTGAACTTGACCAATTAGAAGGATGTTGCGGTACAGAAACGATGGTTTGACACGGTTGCCTTGTGGCTTAGACCGGCTAATTACACATGTGACCAGCAGAGAGAGTTTACTGGTTTATTTAGTGAACTGGGTGGAATGTACAGTGACCAAGATGGTACATGTGCAACTGAAGGGGTTATTTGGAGAAGAATCCGGGATGCTGTCGGGGGAAAAGAACAATTCCTCTGCCATTTGGTTTAAGTATTATTCACTTAGAATCTTAAAGACCTGCCCCTTCATTATTTCCATTAAAAGGTTTTCCACAATTATGAACCTGTAATTAGACAGCATTTGCTAAACCATCCCGAGTGTGCTAAGAATTACATTGACAACCAATTTGAAGTTGCAAGTTGGACTTACAATGTGGTACATTTTGGGTGTTGGAGATTACTTATGTTAATACATAGGGCCCTGGTTCTTTGCACATATGGAACCTATTTCAACCCAACAAATAGGTCACTGCCATTCATTGGTTCATTTCTCAGGGCAATGCTGATCAGAGTCGACCTCATTCATTTAAATTTAAGCAAAGTTTGGCAGTTAATTGTCAGTCATCATCCAACAAGTGCATTCCCCTAGGCAACGCCTTAACCATTCAGAGTCCACCTGCCAACTAATCAACATTCTCCTCTCACACAGTATAGTTGCTGTTTTCCCTTAATATTGTCAGGACAGTTTTCAAGAATACCAATAGCAAACAAAAAGTTTTCACAAATATGGTGCTTTTCAGCAATACTGACATCTGTACGACTTGAAAGTCTCATATTTCAGGACTCTTGCCTCAGTAGCTCATGCCAGGTTTAGCTGTTAGCAACCAGATAAATGTTAGTTGATTACAGATATTAGTCTGTGATATGACACAACTAACACAGCGAGCAATCATTGAAGAGCCAATGAGAATCATTGCTTCTGGGCCCCTCCCTGCCAATGTGCTGACCTGCCTGGACTCAGATCTAGTAAGCTGAGAGAAGATCATGTGGAATTGAAAGGATAGAAAGAACCAATTTTGTACCCTATGACCTTCCTCACCTGTAGAACAGATGTCCTACTATAGGACCTTCCTCACCTGTAGAGAATATGGTGAACCAAAAGTAACAGACATCACACAGTTTCCTATATTTCCAGCAGTCAAAGCTATTTTACTCTGGTGATCACTAATAGAATATTAATCTTTTAGCGTTAGGGATGTCACTCATTTTGAGCAGCTGACTGCATTTATTATTGTGTCTTTTGCAATAACTTCCCTGGTAATGACCCATTTAGCATTCATGGTGAGCTTGAGGTAATTAATTTATATATTACTGATGACACTGCAATGGTTTATGTTCCGACAGTGGGATTAATAGGTTGTTCTTACATATTCTACATCAGTAATTATAACAGTGAATGATGCCACTGATGCTAAATTGTTGACTAATCTAACCTCGCCTGGTTGATACTAATTAATATCACAATGTTTTAGTGTTTAGGAGACGCAGTAAATTAAACCTTTACAGACGAATGGTGAGTGACACTCCCTTATGGGCCACAAAGGAATAGTATTTCTGTTCTACTTAGAGCTTTCACATTCTTGGGAAGCTCAGCTCATGGAGATGCTGCTATTAGATTATGGAGTCACTTCTGGTCTATAGTACTCACTGCACAGTTGTGTGCCAGTAATAAATGGATTTCTTGTATTATTTTGGCAGAAGGAGAATTGTGCTCCTCAAGACAGCACACAATGTAGTTTAGGAAATCAAGTAGCTTCCACTTTCAAAGGGCAGGATAAATATGGCATCAGGTACAGGATAAAAGGTCCCCTTGTTCTGCCCAACTGCAGTTAAAGCACACACGAACTGGATGCAGATTGTGGCTTCCTCCATTACTACCGCATCAAATTCTCCAGGAGAGGAGCCGTCTCTGCATTTTATCGAGTCCAAATGTCAGAAACAATCTACTTCTAGCATGCCACTCTGGTATGCCATTGCACACATCTGTCTAACCCAGATTTTTCCAATTCTTGTGAGCAATTGTTTCTATTGCGAGCACGCCAACAACCTTATGACTGCTGTCTGAAACATAAAAATGTAAGAAATAGGAGCAAGAGTAGGCCATTCAGCTTATCATAACTGTCCCACTCTTCTATAACATCTGTTCCAGGTGAAAAGTCCTCTTCCATGTCAGTTCCTTATATCAACTCCCAATATTTCACAACTCTCTCTCTCCCTTTTAAATACTTCCAGTGATCTAACCTCGATGATTCTCTGCAATAGAGAGATCCAGACATTCATTACCCTCTGGGAGAAGCAATTCCTTCACATCTCAGTTTTAAATGAGTGCCCCCTTATTCACTGAGGCTGAGATGAAGAGGATGGGAGGAGGTGGGTGTGGACTATGAACACGGGGTAGTACGAAGATGTTTGTTGTACTGAAAAATCTACTCTCTTCTGCCATCCTCCTGGTGTCCATGCATTGGTTGTGAGTGATCATGGTCTAATGAAATTTGAGGAAGCATTGGCCTGACGCTTTTCCAAAGGGGCCAGGAGTCTTACAAGACAGCGTCGATCAAGCCAAACTCCCACTTGTAAAAGTAACAGCTCTGTTGGCACCCAATAGGAAAAAGTTAGCAAAAACATTTAGACTGCCAGCCACTCAGATCTTAAAACCAACAACACATCGAGCTTATTAGTCAGACTGGTGTGTGGTTAAGCATCAAAATTAGTTTGGGGAATTAATTCATCCTTACTGTTCAACATTGTACTGATATCAAAACGGAACAGAATGCCTTTGAATCTCAGTGGATTTGGCCTGAAAGCGCTCACCAGCTCCCTTCTTTCTCTGTGCAGCTTGTTTCCTTGCAAGCTTTGAACAATTATCAAATGACTAATTAGTTTCTGAAGAAAACACCAGCCGTGATCTAAATGATGGGCCAAACTGGCTCAATGGACACAAAAACAAAGTTGCTGGAAAAGCTCAGCAGATCTGGCAGCATCTGTGAAGGAGTAAACAGAGTTAATGTTTCAGGTCCGGTGACCCTTCCTCAGAAGGGCTTAATGGACTGAATGGCATCCTCCTGTGTGGGCAAGTGAATACTCCACCTCTCCTCATTTAAGATAGATTATCAGTCATTTAAAAGCCATTGTTTTTCCTAATTAGGTCACTTTCCTTCTAGTACAAAGATCATCTGTGTTGCCATTTGTTATGACGCCTCTAATGTTATTGGACATTGTGATGGCAATGGAACCAGATACCTTCACGGACTTCAGGTTAGCACATCACCTGCAAGGTCAGAGTGAGAGAGAGTTAGCAATCTGCCTTAGTGCCAAGCTGATCCAGTGTCCAAGGAAATGTTGTCACAGTCCCAGAGAAATATAGAACTGCTCTCTCTCATTAAAGAGCCATGACTGGTGGTGGTTTAACCTGAGGGTCAGCACACCTCAGGCGAGGGGAGAGGTTGAGAAGGAGAGTCCTTCGTGGTGACTTCAACGAGTGTGGGAATTTAATTTGTGCCTTTGGTATCAATCTGCATCACAAACCAGACATCTAAGCTAATCAACATCCTCACCCTCTCTTAAAACCCCACTTGCACACTCAAGTCAGGAATATGGAATAGATAAGAAAACCAAAGACTGAGAATGCAGGATGTGCATTTAAATACTGCTTTTCATGCACTCCTGATGTCCTGCTGAAATGTTTTATAATCAATCTTTAATCTGTAATCGCTGCTGTAATGTAGGAAAATCAGCAATTTGTACACAGCAACCTCCCCAAAACTGCAATACAAGAATGAGAAGAATATCTTGGGCTTTCTTAACGGGATGTTGGTTGAAGGACAAACACTGGCTCTTGATCCAAAAAGTGCCATCTAGATCTACCCGAGAAAGTAGACAGGACCTCGGTTTAATGTCTCATCTGAAAGACAGCGCCTCTGACCATTGCAGCACTCCCTCAGTACTGCACTAGTATCAGCCTTGATTTGAAACAGGACAGCTTGCCCAGCCATTACTCCAAGGTCATCGAACTCAGTATGGGAAGACACCTGATGTTGCCCAGGTAGGTGATAGTTAGAACATACAACTGTACACTACAGGAATGGGCCCCGAACATGACGCCAAATTAAACTAATGCCTTCTGCCTGCCCTTGGTCCATATCGCTCCATTCCTTGCATATTTATGTTCTTATCTAAAAGTCCCTTAAATGCCCCTATTGTATCTGCCTCCACCACCACCCTTAACAGTGCATTTCACACTCCTATCACTATGTCAAAAACTTGCCCCTCACATCTCCTTTGAATCTTCCCCTCTCAGCTTAAATGCATGCCCCTAGTTTCAGACATTTCAACTCTGGAAAAAAGATTCGGACCATCAACCCTATTTATGCATCTCAATTTTATAGACTTCTATCAGGTCTCCCCTCAGCCTCCACCGCTCCAGAGAAAACCACCTGAGTTTTTCTAGCCTCTCCTTATAGTTCATAGCCTCTAATCTAGGCAGCATCCTGGTAAACCTCTTTTACACCCTCTCCAAAGCATCCACATCCTTCCTGTAATGTGGCAATGAGAAGTGAACGCAATATTCTAAGTATGGCCTAACCAAAGTCATATAAAGCTGCAACATGACATCCTGGCTCTTGTACTCAACTCCCTGGCCAATAAAGGCAAGCATGCCACATGCCTTGACCACCACCCTATCTACTTGCATGACCACTTTCAGGCTGCTATGGACTTGAACCCCAAGATCCCTCTGTACATCAATGCTGTTCTGCAAATAACTGTATCCTTTTCCTTAACATTTGATCTTCCAAAGTGCGGCAGCTCACACTTACACAAATTAAACTTCATCTGCCATTTCTCTGCCCATACCTGCAACTGATTTATATACCACTGTATCCTTTGACAACCTTCTACACTATTCACAACTCCACTGATCTTTGTATCGTCTGCAAACTTACTAACCCACCCATCTGCATCTTCATCCAAGTCATATAATTATATCACAAACAGCAGAAATCCAGTACAGATCCCTGTGGAATCCATGTGTAGTGTGTGAATTTTAGTCACGCATACTCTTAATTTTTCAAAGAAGCTCTAGGAGGAGTTCATCAGGACTTTCCTGCCAATGTCATATGACTGGCAATAAACCAACATTCATAATTCATGATTTCTAAACTATTTTTTGGAACTTCCACTGCGAGGAGACAAAGAAGGATCGAACAAAGAACATCAGGCAGCTACAAGGATGTACAGGAATTGGTAAATTCAAAACATTTGGGATCTCTAACACCCAAGGTCAATAATGTTGCAGATAAGCAACCACATTTCCCAAAGCCTTGGTCAGTTTGAGTGATATTTTTCAGGACTTTTATTTGAACTAAAGATGTACAAACCCCAGGTTCTGCTGTTAACCTGGCTCCTACAATGCGCTCTCTGCTAAAGTAATATACAGTCACAGTTGAAGGAAAGATATGTGGGTCATTCAGAATCTGGAAGATTAAAAAAGTGAACAGGGTTTTTTTGGAACAGACTACTATCATGAGAATTTAATGGGGGATACAGTGATCTGCGGATCCTGGCTGTTATTCCTTGATTCTGCAATGCTATTCCCAATTTTTTAAAAAAATAATTTTTGGGTGTTGCTGCATTCCCTGGACCTAGTTGCCTTTGCTAAATTGTTAGACTTGCACTACTGTAGTCTATGCTCAGATATTGCAGTGATTGAGTGGCCACTGAGGCCATTTCCGGGGGTAGTTAAGAGTCAACCATGTTGCTTTGGGTCTGGAGTCACATGTAGGTAGGGGTGGCAGATTTTGCTCCAACGAAGACATAAGTGAGTGGGATGGGGTGTTCCATCATTAGACTCATAATCCCAGATCTTTAACTGGATTCCAGTTGCACCCTCTGCCGTGGGCATAATTTGAACCTGGGTTAATAATCTAGCGACGGTATCACTAGGCCAGAGGATAGCAGGAACTGCCGATGCTGGAGTCTAGGATAACAAGGTGCGGAGCTGGAGGAACACAGCAGTCTCCTCCGATGCTGCCTGGCCTGGCCTGGCCTGCTGCGTCCATCCAGCTCCGCACCTTGATATCACCAGGCCGTTAGTCTGCCTTTAACGTTGTTGTGTTCACACCGTTCCGTTTGTTTGTTTTATTTTTATAAAAAAAAAACACACACACAGTTGTGGTACATGGACGGCTACCTGAACGGTCGGACGGTGCGCGAGTTCCGCTCCTTCAACGACTTCGTCAAGGGGGAGAAGTTCGTCATCTACCGCCTGCCTCACCCTTGGGCGGGAACGGGTCACGTGGTCTTCAACGGCTCGCTGTACTACAACAAGTACCAGAGCAACATCGTCATCAGGTACCACTTCCGGTCGCGCAGCATCCTGGTCCAGCGGAGCCTGGACGGGGCGGGCTACAACAACACCTACCCCTACTCGTGGGGAGGCTTCTCCGACATAGACCTGATGGTGGACGAGAGCGGCCTGTGGGCCGTCTACACCACCAACCAGAACGCGGGCAACATCGTCATCAGCCGGCTGGACTCCCAGACGCTGGAGATCCTCCAGAGCTGGGACACGGGCTATCCCAAGCGCAGCGCCGGTGAGTCCTTTGTGATCTGCGGCACTCTGTACGTGACAAACTCCCACCTCGCCGGCGCCAAGATTTACTTTGCCTATTACACCAACACATCAAGCTACGAGTACACTGATATCCCATTCCACAACCAGTACTCACACATATCCATGCTGGACTACAACCCGAGAGATCGAGTTCTTTATACCTGGAATAATGGTCACCAGGTTCTCTACAATGTCACCCTTTTCCACGTCGTAAAGACGTCGGGCGAGTTGTAATGTTGTGACAGGACACTCCTTTTTACATTTAAACATACTGATACTTAAAGGGGAAAAAAAAAACAAGACTGTTCAGTGTGAGTGCGCATGTTTTTTTTTGTGTTACCAAACAATAAAGTTTAACTTTGAAATGGACAAATTAGTTGGTGTCTTACGGATGACCTCAGTTCAAGGGCCCAGCCAATTTTAAAAGCCTGATTGAAACAAGCAGAGAATGCTCAAGAGACTCAGCAGGTCTGGCAACACACATGAAGGAGAGTCCAGTGTATAGGACAGGGCAGAACAAAGTACATTGGAAAAGTCACCATTCTTAGATGACACCCAAGCTTCAGTCTCTTATATTGTTCACTATTATTTTTAAAAAAAGGAAAAAAACTGCAGAAAGCCATAAGCACAGAAGGACACGGGGGTCCGTGGATATAGAGTCATAACAGCTTAGAAGCAGACCCTTCAGTCCAACTCTCCCATGCTGACCAGTTTTTCTAAACTGAACAAGTTTTATATGAAGGGTGGCATGGTGGATCAGTGGTTAGCACTGCTGGCTCATGGTGCCGGAGACCCAGGTTCAATTCCACCCTCGGGTGCCTATGCAAACTCCACATAAACATTCTCCCTGTACCTGTGTGGGTTTCCTCCGGGTGCTCCGGTTTCCTCCTGCAGTCAAAAAGTTGTGCAGCATAGGAGGATTGGCCATGCTAAATTGCATGTGGAAATTAGGTGGGTTACAGGGTGATGTGTCTGGGTGGGATGCTCTGAGAGTTGGTGTTGACTTGTTGGGCCAAAGGGCCTGTTTCCACACTATAGGGATTCCATGATCTATTTGCTAGCATTTGGCCCATATCCCTCTAAACCTTTCCTATTCATGTACCTGTCCAAATGTTGTAATTGTACCCACCTCTACCACTGCCTTGGGCAGTTCATTCTGTGTAGGCACCACCCATGTACAAAAAGCTAGCTCATTATAGAGAAGGTAAATGGAATGTGAGCCTATATTTCAAAGGCAATTGAGCAAGTATTTATATGGAATATATAAATAAAAGCAAGGCCCTGAGGATGCTGGAGATCTGAAATAAAAAATTGGAAATGCTGGAGAAACTCAGCAAGTCTGGCAGCATCTGTTGAGAGAGAAACAGTTAACATTTTGAGTCCGGTATGACTCTTCAAATTCCTTTCAGGGAATTTCAGTTCATCTAAACAGCCTTACAATCTCAAATGCAAAGAAAGGAGATTACTGGATTATGCTAAAGGACCTTTCTCTTATGTTGCCTTGTACATTGGTTTCAACATTTTCATTTTGACTTTGTTGACCTGATGGAGATTTTAAAAATCTGATAGTGTTAGAAAAGGGGTTTCCATTTGCAAGGGAATCCAAAACTGTGGTCGTAATTACAAAATGGTCAGCAATGAATCCAGCCGGGAATCCAAGAGATATCTATTTAGCCAGGGAATGGAGACAATGTGGAGCTTGCTGTAGCAGGCAGTGATGGAAGTAAAGAGCATGAATGGATCTAAGAGGGAGCTGAGACAAGCACGAGAATAGAAGGACATAATGGCAGGCTAAGATGAGCATTACAGCATGGAGGAGATTCAAATAGAGCATTAACACTGGTATGGAGCAGTGGGGCTGGGTGACCTGTACCTGGACTGAAAACAAAAAGTGCTGGAAATCACAACGGGTCAGGCAGCATCCGAGGAAAGAGAGCAAAGTAATGTTTTGAGTCTAGATGACTCTTCTTCATTAGTTTGCTCTGTTCTCCACAGATGCTGCCTGACTTGCTGTGATCCCCAGCATTTTTTGTTTTCAGTACAGATTCCAGCGTCTGCAGTAATTCGCTCCCATCTGGCCTGTTCCTGTTGTCCTTTTTGGCATCGAAGCCCACCTCTGGTGAGTTTATCAATTATGAGGCATATGCCGAGCTATCAACATGCTGTACAGGATGATTCTACACTGAGAGCAATACATCCTGACTCTTTAGCAACGGTGTAAAATAGGTCTTTGCGAATTATATTAAAGTATCTACTTACTTTAATTTCTCTTGAAGTCAATGAGTTGCTCCACATTGTCTGATAGTGGCAGCCTGGGAACAGTTATTTTAAACAGAATCACTTAAGGAAGAATTGAGAAATGCCAATCAGAGTGAACAATATCTCCGCTAATAACATTTGAGAATATGACAACTCTGCGGGGTCCATTTCCCATTTAACTTTGTCAACGCAACTAAAACACCAGAAATAAAGTTTATTGCAGTCATAATCCGTGATATACAGAACCACAGCATTGAATTGGTCAATCCTCCCAAGTTTCCATTGTTTGATTTTTCACATTAATGAGCTCCAAATATATAAAGCAATTTTGTTTTGCGATGCCTTTCTGAATGGCTTCAGATTTACTGTCAAATAAGGTCAGACCGTAATATGCAACAGTCTGTTTGTCTTATTGGAATGCGGTCGGTTTAAGAACCCATACAAATCTTGGTGGAAGCCAAGAAAAGGGCTGAATTTAAAACCTAAAGCCTATGCTTACAGGAATGGACAACCTATCTCCTTCAGAATGAGCCACCCAAGGATCTAGCTGGGCCTCTTAACTGCAGGAGTGAAGCTCAGTCCTCTCAGCAGAGTAGGAGGCAAATATCCACCTGCTGCAGCTTTTGAATTAACCATTGAGCCACATATCCCTAGAATACTATGTGCCAGAGACAATTCTGAAAGAGATCATAGAATCCCTACAGTGTGGATGTAGTCCAGTCAGCCCATACCTACCATCTGAAGGGCATTCCAACCAGACCTACACCCCAACCCTAAAACCCTGCATTATCCACGTTAACTCACCTAGCCTGCACATCTCTGACATTATGGGCAATTTAGCATGGCCAATCCAGCCTAACCTGCACATCTTTGGGCTGTGGGAGGGAACCAGGGCACCCAGAGGAAGCCCACGCAGACACAAGGAGAATGTGCAAACTCCACACAGATAGTCATCCAAAGCTGGAATTGAACCTGGGTCCCTGGTGCTGTAAGGCAGAGACTGTGCCACCCAGCTAAGGGCTGACAGAGTCAGCTCATGTATGCTGTCTCTCAGACTTGTTGATGTACCAAAATGAAGCTAAACTGGGTTTGTGACCAGTCAAAGCATGCTACAACCAGAAATCAGATTGGTCACAATAAGGTTCAGGTAAACCACAGCCCAGAGCCAGATTGACCACACATCCGGATTACAAGTGAGAATTAAAACAGAGGTGACAATTCACGTGTGCAATGTGACTCTCAGTTTTAGATGGTTTCCAAATCAACCTGTTCAGAAATGTTATGACACACCTCTGGAGCAAGCTCAGAGGTAGGGACAGTACTACTGCCCCGAAGCGCCCTTCCTCAGTGAGTTTTGGAACATTGATGAAAAATCTCAGAGTGGCTGTGATAACAAAGCTCTTGCCAAATCCAGGCTGATGACAATCTAATGACATCCAGTAAAAGTTTTACGCCTTGGGCTTGGACTGTGCTAAGCTTTGATAAACTGGAATTTACAACTTTAATCTTTGAATATTCCACTGAAGTTCAGTTTGCTCTATTTGTTTAATTTCTTTTTGCAAATTTAAAGTGTCAAGCAGGTTTACTGAGAGCTAATTGGATTGACTTGATCTTGAAACCTTTAAGAGCTCAATTCATGGATTTGAATCTCAGGTTCAAAGGTAACCAGAAGGCAATTGGAGCCCATTTGTCTCTTTGAGACGTAGATTCATACAGCACGGAAACAGACCCTTCTGTCCAACCAGTCCATGCCGATCATGTTCCCAAAATAAACTAGTCTCACCCACCTGTGTTTGGCTCATATCCCTCCAAACCTTTCCTATTCATGCATTTAACCAAATGTATGTTAAATGTTGTAACTGTACCTGCATCCATCACTTTCTCTGGCAGTTCATTCCACACAGGAACCCACCCTGGGTAAAAAGGTTGCCCCTTATGTTCTTGTTCAATCTTTCTCCTCTCACCTTAAAAATATGCCCCCGAGTTTGAACCCCTCCCACCCTAGGGAGAAGACCCTTGTCATTCACCTTATCTATGCCCCTCATGATTTTATAAACTTCAAGAAAGTCACCCCTCAACCTCCTAAGCTCCAGTGAGAAAAATCCTAATATTTTTTCCACTCTTCTTTGCTTTAAACATCTCATTACTATTTAATTGTTGCATGAGTGAAATATATTAAAGGCTAAAAATCTGAAAGGAACAGAAGTGCTGCAAATACTGTGTAGAGAGAAACTTTTCATGTTGGTCACAATTTAATCTTGGTGGTCGCTGTTGCAGAAACTGCAGTGTCTATTGCTGTCTGGTTCTCCAATACTAGTCACACGTGCAGATTTTTAGCCAGCTACCTAAGAGGGCAACTAAGCCTCCTGAAAGGAGCTCATGGTGAATTCAGCACTCAGGGCTGCAGTTGGCAAATTGCTGGAATGGTAAGAGACCTGGATGATCACCGCAGACATAAGATCAAATCCCACCAGGCAGCTTCGGGGAAATAAAATTCAATTAGTTTATGACTCAAAAGCTGGTCTCAGTAGTGATGACTGTTGAAGCTAATGGATTATCTAAGGGAAATCACACATCTGGTTACCAGTGTCCATTACTGAATGCCATCTGCTGTTCTTGTCCAGTTTCACCTAACTATGACTTCAGATTCATAGCAATGTGGTTGCTTTTTATAACTAAGCTCCATTGCCTTCAAGCGGTAAGATGTTAATGTCACTGGGCTCAGGAATTCAGAGGCGCAGACTAACGTCTCAGAGTTTATGGATTCAAATCCCAGCGTTGTAGCTGGTGGAATTTAAATTCAGTTAGTAATGTCTGAAATTGAAAGCTGGTCTCAATTACGGTGACCATGACATTGCCATCAATTGTTCTTAAAATCCCATCTGGTTCACTTATGTCGTTCAGGGAAGAAAATCTGCCATTCTTACCTGGTATGGCCTACATGTGACTCCAGACCCACAGCAGTGATTCTAAACTGCCCTCTGAAATGGCCTCACAAGCCACTCAGTCCAAGGGCAATTAGGGATGGGCAACAAATTCCGGCCTTTCCAATGATGCCCATCTGTGAATGGTCAGAGCAATTAGTTGTAGGTGAGGAACAGTAGGTGAGAGGAGGAAAGTCAACAATTGCTGCTATTGGGGAACTGACTCCAAAAAGAAACTTGATACACTTGCGCAATGCAAGCTACTTCTTTCCTGCCTCATTTTCACTGATGCTGCATTGACTGTCAAAC